ACAATTTCCAATGCTTACAGATTTCAATCTTTGTTAATATTGCAACATTTCCTGCTTCTAATAAAACATATGATATATATCTAAACAATCTTCCAGTATGTTATGCATATATTTATTTAGATACTTTTTTCGGTGCAGATACGGCTTCTATTACAGTCAACGTTTCAAAATCACAAAAACAACAGCCTAAAACGAAAGTGCTGGCATGCAGCTACCCAAATGAAAATTCTGTAACAAATTTACATTTAATCCTATCTATATTTGAAAGTATTCAGATTACAGTGTTCGATGACCTATTTTTTTTTCAGCATTTCATTCTTCCTACTAGATACCACTTGAGATGACCATACACACATCCTGATCCCCTTAAATGTTTTCGAGCAGAAACCACTGCTCAGAAACTCATAACATTACATTTCATGCCCTTGCCATTTCCCTCACATTGCAGATACAGAGCAATAGGCTACATTAGTAATCTTATTTACTACTATCAGCTTGCCACCTTAACCCAGTTTGCAGAAAGCTGTCATTATCCCCCACCTTCAAACTTCAGTCATTTGAGCAGGAAAAAAAATACTTTTCTGAGCCATAACAATGCCACCCCCCCCCCCCAAAAAAAAAACAATAAAAGATAAAGTAAATGCTTATTAATAAATATCAACTACAGTGATTGTAGTTAAGGTGTTACTGCTTTGATTTGTAATCACCACTCTGGGAACAATCAAGAATACTGAGCATGAAGTAAGAACAGATTTTTTTTTTACTGGACCCAAAAAAGAAACCTTGCAAGCCAAAACAGTTTGGGTAAAAGAGTGATAATTAACATGCAATCCAGCACTACACTTCCTGACAGCTTAGGACCAAAGGTCAGCTCACATTTATTTGAATTTATAACTTAGTATTTCTAATTGTTCTTATCCATGCCTGCTGACTACTATCCTCAATAGAAGAAACCATATATATGTAGTTTTATATAGTTTATATATATATACAATATAGTTTTCTGCCTTACAAATTTGCCATTGCTCAGCTTCTTCTTCCATAAACAACTAATATAATCAGAGATACTAAATCACAAAATTATATTAGTTGAAAACTTGCAATGAGAAGACACTTGTAAAATAAAACAGCAGACCTCTAGCAAAACCAAGACAAACCCCTAGTGCTGGGCAGTATTCCCATGCTATTCCAATAATGGCAAGCTTCTGCTAAAATGAAGCTGCTCTTTGTGAGAAAAGTTGTAATGATAGGTCAAATACTGTTTCAGGTTTGAGAGAACACAGAATAAAACTTATGCATGAGCACCAGTGTACAGCAGATTGTAGTACACTGCGAAGTGCAAAATCATAGAATCATAAAATAGTTAGGGTTAAAAAGGAGCTTAAGATCATCTAGTTCCAAACCCTCTGCCCTGGGCAGGGGCACCTCACATTAAACCATATCACCCAAGGCTCTCTCCAACCTGGCCTTGAACACTGCCAGGGATGAGGCATTCACAACCTCCCTGGGCAACACATTCCAGTGCCTCACCACCCTCACAGTAAAGAACTTCTTCCTTATACCCAATCTAAACTTCCCCTGTTTAAGTTTTAACCTGTTACCTCTTGTCCTATCACTACAGTCCCTAATGGACAGTCCCTCCTCAGCATCCCTATAGGCTCCCTTCAGATACTGGAAGGCTGCTATGAGGTCTCCATGCAGCCTTCTCTCCTCCAGGCTGAACAGCCCCAACTTCCTCAGCCTGTCTTCATACAGGAGGTGCTCCAGTCCCCTGATTATCCTCGTGGCCCTCCACTGGATACCATGGATAATTCAACAGCATGGTAGTTCATCAGGTTAGAAAGTCTTTTCCTTTAACAACACTTAGAGAAGTTACAAGCTTGCAGGCAACTGTTCTAACCAGCAGTGCTCTCCAGCACCTGGCACTGTTAGGTCACTACTGAGGATAAATACATTAAATATGATTTCAAGCCTCTTCCTTCACTGATTTGGTTCATTTTTTTCCTATGGTTCCTGACAGAGACAGTAAAAGATAGTCTTTCACAAAATGACAGACCACTGAAACACTGAAACACTGAAACTTTTATCTATGAACATAGTTATTTGCCAGGATTCTATGAAATACCTACTAGGATATTGTCAAGTATCTTTCCAAAAAAGCATAAAATCCACGTTCAATAAAGGAAATTACCCTGCATGAATACAAAACAGGGATTCAAAATAAAAGCTCCCCACACAGCTAGTTTAGTGTATCAGCTAAAGACAACGCCATTTCTCCAGAAAAATGACAGGACAATCTGCTTCCCTAAGTGGATGGATGTGCCTTCCATTTGTTAGAGGATGCAGCAGGTGATGTCAGTCACGTGAAGTTCCCAATGACTGGAAAAAGGGAAATATAACCCCCATTTTCAAGAAGGGGAAAATGGATGACCCAGGGAATTACAGACCAGTCAGTCTCACCTCTGTGCCTGGCAAAATCTTGGAGCAGATTCTCCTGGAAGGCATGCTAAGGCACATGAAAATCAACAAGGTGCTTGGTGACAGCCAGCATGGCTTCACTAAGGGGAAATCCTGCCTGACCAATTTGGTGGCCTTCTATGACGGGGCTACAGAACTGATGGACAGGGATAGAGCAGTTGATGTCATCTACCTGGACTTGCGCGAAGTGTTCGACACTGTCCCACATGACATCCTTGTCTCTAAATTGGAGAGACATCAATTTGATGGATGGACCACTCAGTGGATAAAGAACTGGCTGGATGCTTACATGCCAAGAGTTGTGGTCAATGGCTCAATGTCCAGCTGGAGACCAGTAACGAGTGGTGTCCCTCAGGGATCGGTGTTGAGACTGGTCTTGTTCAACATCTTTGCTGCTGACATGGACAGTGGGATTGAGCGCGCCCTCAGCAAGTTTGCCGATGACACCAAGCTGTGTGGTTCAGTTGATACCCTAGAGGGAAGGAATGCCATCCAGGGGGACCTTGACACACTTGTAAGGTGGGCTGATGCCAACCTCATGAGGTTTAACCATGCCAAGTGCAAGGTCCTACACCTGGGTCGGAGCAATTCCAGGCACAGCTACAGGCTGGGCAGAGAAGAGATTCAGAGCAGCCCTGTGGAGAAGGACTTGGGGGTGCTGGTCAGTGAGAAACTTAACATGAGCCAGCAGCGTGCGCTTTCAGCCCAGAAAGCCAACTGCATCCTGGGCTGCATCAAAAGAGTGTGACCAGCAGGTCGAAGGAGGTGATCCTGCCCCTCTACTCTGCTCTCGTGAGACCTCACCTGGAGTATTGTGTGCAGTTCTGGTGTCCTCAACATATAAAGCACATGGAACTGTTGGAACAAGTCCAGAGAAGGGGCACGAGGATGATCAGGGGACTGGAGCACCTCCTGCATGAAGACAGGCTGAGAAAGTTGAGGCTGTTCAGCCTGGAGAAGAGAAGGCTGCGTGGAGACCTCATAGCAGCCTTCCAGTATCTGAAGGGGGCCTGTAAGGATGCTGGGGAGGGACTCTTCATTAGGGACTGTAGTGACAAGACAAGGAGTAATGGGTTAAAACTTAAACAGGGGAAGTTTAGACTGCATATTAGGAAGAATTTCTTTACTGTGAGGGTGGTGAGGCACTGGAATGTGTTGCCCAGGGAAGTTGTGAATGCTCCATCCCTGGCAGTGTTCAAGGCCAGGTTGGACAGAGCCTTGGGTGACATGGTTTGATGTGAGGTGCCCCTGCCCAGGGCAGAGGGTTTGGAACTAGATGATCTTAAGGTCCTTTCCAACCCTAACTATTCTATGATCCTATGGTCATTCCCTGTCCTATGTTTAGGAAGGGGCCTCCTTGATATTAAGAAGCCTCAACCATTCCAACATAGCTTTAATTTACAAATGTCAGGTACAGTTTGCCTATTGCCCTTATCCATATTGTGTTGTTCTTTCCTGATTATTAGGGATTTGTATTCTGAGCTTGTGAAGTGAAATTACAGTACAAAAACCCCAGAGTACCCCAGGCTCTACATGAAGAAAGTAGAAATTTCCAATGACAGCAATAATAGTTTATATCCTCTTCTCCAAAGTTTTAGGAAGGCTTTGTTACTTTCTTCACATTTAGCATCATTAGCATCATTGCCTTCTCTTGACACATACTGTGACTGGAGCAAAAACTTCTTTCGTGTGGCTGTAAACAGACTGCACAAAATGATGTGTCCAGCAAACAGCACTCCTTCCTCTTTTGACCTTTCACAAATTCAACCCATTCATTGCATATTTAGATTATTGAGAACATGGGCATTAAAGACATACTTATACATACATCTGAAGCTGGAAGCAACAGCCTGCCAGCTCCCATACAGATGTGCTTTTGGTCCCCCTGCCTAAGTGAGGGAAGGCATCGGCACACACCGTGGGTACCTGAAATGCCAGCACAGCCAGGAGACTCTCCGCCCCTGTGACCAGTCTCTAAGCTTGCAGCATGGCAACCAACATTTCTTTACGTATCACCTTGTTGTTTCTGAAGAACTGCTGCTTAATCGGAAAAACAGCGACAGAACTGGGGGCAAGCAACAAGAAGCAGCCAACTCCCCCCTGCCCAGCACAGCTCTCCTCGGCCAAGGGCCCGCATCTCATCCACGCTGTCAGAGGTGAGAGGACCTGTCTGCCTCCCAGCACGCCCGCAGCCCCGGACTTCCAGCTCAGTTCCCGCTCTACCTCGGGCAGGACGGGGAATACCCCGTACCCCAAGGGGGCAAACACCCACACTCGCTACGGGACGGAAGCTCCCAGTAGCACCACGGGGAGAAGCTCTCCCCTTTCCAGGGCAGCGAGGCGAATGCCTATAACCTGGGAGCACTTGGAGCCCCACCACCACCCGTACCCCCACAACGCTCCCCCTCCTCCAGCAGCCGCCCCTCCCAGCCCTGCCGGGGCGCCGGCCCCGCCCCGTCCCGCCCCCCGCGGCGGCGGAGTCCGCAGCGCACCGCCCGCCGCCTGCCCCTGCCTGGCGCTACCTGTGCGTTGGAGCCGAGCTCGGGCGGCCGTCGGGCGCCGAGCAGCTTGGCCGTGGTCTGCAGGTTGATGGGGGCGGTCTGCGGGGGCTCCACGCCCAGCCCGCCGTTGAGGTGCGCCGTCACCATCGCGATGGGCGCCTTGGCCGGCACTACGGAGATAGCCAGGCTCTGCCCGGGGCTGCCGCTGGGGCTCCCGCCGCCACCGCTGCCGCCGCCAACACCGCCACCGCCGGGTGCCTTCAGGAGAGCCGGGACGCCGCCGGGCTTGGCGCTGCCGCTGGCGCCGGTGCCCACCAGAACGGCCGCGGGGCAGCTCCGCACCGCCAGCTTCTGCCGGGGGAGAGAAGGGGAGAGAGAAGCGGCATCGTCACTCGCCGGGCTGCAGCCGGATCCCGGCCCCCCGGCCCCGCTCGGTCTTCCGAGCGCAGCGGCTGGATCGGCCCTGCCGGGCTCGGCCCCGGCAACACGGGTTTGGGTTTCTTCCCCCTTAATTTTATTGTTATTATTACTATATTTTTAATGTAATTCTTTATGGAAGGGCGGGGGGGCAGGGGACAAGGTTGCTCTTTCCCTCCTCGCTCGGGAAGTTGCTGTTTACTTGGGGTTTCCAAAGTCTTTTGGTATCTCTTTATGCCCGGAACTACTGATCCGGGTATAGATCTAGATAATACTGCAGTTTAATTAGTAATAGAAGGCTTAAAAGAACGTTATTTTCAACTTCCCCTTCCATCGGTCTGAAAGTCCCTTACATGTGCTCACCTTACCCCCAGCGCTTCGCTATTTTTCCTGTTCTTTCAGCCTCACGTCGGAGTCGGGTTTTTGGTTTCGCCTTTAACTTCCTCTCCCTTCTTCACAAACTTCCACTATTTGTTGTTGTTTTGCTTTGTTCCCCTTGCCCCCCCCCCCCCCCCCCAGCTAACTTTTCTCCACAGTACCCATTTTAACTCGTTGCTCTCTGTTTTTCTTAACAGTTGTGCTTTTAAATTGCTACAGAGTGACCATTCTGTCGCCTGTAATAGGGGTACATTGACTATGATCTTCTTACCCTATCCTTTACAGGACTTGCATGTGGGATTTCTATAGGCTCTGTTAAGTTGCTGTATCGTAAATGCCAGTGTCTGTGGAAAAAACTTTTTGCACTTGAAAGAATCTCAGAAGCTGTTCTTATTAATGCCGTTTAGAATCACAGAATTGTAGGATCAGCGAGGTTGAAAAAGACCTAGAAGCCAGGTCAAGCCTCTTTTGATACTTTGAAGTATTAAACATCTCATTTTTACAAGAATTGACAGTAACGATACTTTGTCCTGCAAAGACTTCTGCCTGTAACTTATTCACTGTCTGGTCCTGATGGTTTCAATGCCATTGTATCTAATGTGTAGTCTTCTACCAAAGGCCACTGCCTCTTTAGGTCTGCTGCTGTACTAGTAAAGTCATTAAGAGTTTTGTTGTCAACTTTGCTTGTTTAAGATACAGTGTAGATACATACATACATATATATATGTGTGTATGTAAAGTCACAGTAATGCTTAGTTCTTTCCAGAATTAAAGCTTAAAGTCTTCTGTACATAAAGTGGTACAAAAGTAACTGACTTCTAAGAACATAGCTTCCTTCTTACCTTTAAACCCATTATACACTTTAAGGCTGTAAAGCCTTAATTGTCAAATATGTTTGCTCCAGGAACTGTAGATTTTGTGTTTATGTGAAATAGAAAGTGTGCACTTTGTCAGAGATACCTGCTTCGTATTTTAATATACAGAAACGTCTTTTTTAATGACATTATCCTAGTAATGATGACTTCATATAAATTGTTTTAAGCTTTGTGCACTTTTGCCTTTACCTCTCATTCTCCATTATCCTAACTATCCCAAGGAAACATCAGCAATATTTTCCTTAGACTATGCTGTTGCACATCATAGATCATTTGAAGAAGAAAGAGGGAACTTTTCTTTCAGTACAGAAATACACTTGTGTGTTTAAAAGTACTCAAGTGAAAGCCAAGAAGCTCAGGTGTGTTTTATGTAGGTTGGAAAAGTTGCTCATGATGAAATCCTATACAATCTGTTTTGTCGTAGTACAGTTTTCCACTGGTGTTCCTTCTACTTATTGAATGCCCCAGTGCTGTGGTGATGCAGATGCAAAGCAAGTGCATGTAGGAGAGCTGAATACCATCTCTCCTGCTATACTGCACACCTCCTTGCACGGCACCTTATTAACCTGTACAGTGACACAAAGTGTTCAGATTTAGAGTTCAGCTTTGTGGTTGTATTCTTGTTTTGATTTATGTAACGTGAGAAATTCTAAAAGCTCACAGACTGTTGGAAAATGCTGTACCTGGTTACAGTGCTAGAAATCCATCACTTAACTGGAGTTAGTCCAGGAGTGAAATCCTAGCTCAGCTGCAGACAACCAGAGGTTTGCTGCCAGCATCAGCAGCAGCCAGGAATTCTTTTTTATGGAATTACAAGCATTCGCTCTCCCTGATAGGTTACTGTATTGATGAAGTGTCTCCTAGTGTTTGTTCTCAGACATGGGAACATTTTGATTTCTGAATGGAAAACTTCTCACAGAAATACACAGTTTTACTGTACCAATTTTCACTGAAATAAAATTCCTAATATGTAATATTCTAGAGGTCTTGGTACAGCTTTACTTTCTTCTCGGGCAGTTCAAGAATACCTGAGCAAACAAAACTCCACGATCCCAAAAGATACACAGTCTTTGGTATCCCAGTGAAAAAAGCAAGTAAATTAAGTAGAAGTCAATTATGACTTTCCTGACAAAATTCAATAGCAAGTAATTGCTTTTTGTCTTGTTTCAGGGGAGGAAATCGTACCAAGAAAATGCAAAAGCAGCAATTCTATATAGAAATAGAAAAAATCAGTACTCAAGCTACCATCCATCCATTTCCACTGTTCTCCCTGTCTGTATTAACTGCGAGTTAGTTTTGTGTGTCTTTGCATGTGATATGTGGAGGTATTTTCCTAATAAACTGACAAACCTGTCTATTCATCTGTACGTGACACAAAAAGCTAAGGAAGTAAGGGTTACTGCTTGTTTCAGTCTAAATGAGATAAATGTGAAATGCTTGTCATGTTGAACATGCATCTCCTTACGGAAAACTTTCATTTTTATTTAGGTTTAGGGCTCTTTTGTAAGTAAATATAGGGGAAAAGGGCCAATCGGCTCATGCCAGTCACCTCCCTGGGAAGCAATGCTGTGCTAAGTTTACTTAAATAACTGCAAGGTTTAGAACCTAGATCTGGAAGCAGATACAAAGGATCTGGTTCTCAAGATTAGGTTCCAAAAGAGAGTTACAGAAAAACTGTCTGGGGAAGAGCAGGGACAGTATCTCTTCTGTGTCTCATTTAATTCATTTTTTGAAAATAGACCTACCAAAACTTAAAAAATACCCCCCTTAGTCAGATTATGTTGGTTAGGGGATGAGCTGTTAATGCAGCTTTTCTTTGTAAGAACTGTTTTTACCTTGTACTCTGTAAAAACCTTGATAAAGGAGTGCTGGCAGAAACAAAAATTACGGTATGAGAGATTAAAAAAAAGTCCTCCACAAAACCTGCATCTGCTGTATTCTGTTTCTTCCAGAATAATTAAAAGAGTAGTCTTGGTTTTTAAAGAGAAAGGAAATCTGCATTTCGATAATCAGTGAGCATAACATACTCTCTGACACTCTTGGGATTATGAATAATAAGAAATGAAGCAAGCTTTGGACACTGCAGCTGAAAAAATGTGCTGATATAGTGGAAGAGCCAAGAGAGTAAAAAATATTGGCTCTAAATGCTGGAAAGCAGGTCGCTGCTTCTCATCCACAGCATAACAGTTCTTACAATACACCAATTTTGAAGCGGTGCCTTTTCAATAGCAACACAACTTTCATTTTCACTGCAGGATGCCACAGGCAAACCGGAGTTTGAAATATGTATGCCAGTCACATGCAAACACACTACAATGTGCTGGAAAGCTGCCACTTGTTTATGATTTCCCATCTTGTATGTGGCACAGCCTCAACTATTCAAAGCAGAGCTAATATTTTTTTCCATATGTATCAAAATAACTCTGGCCTTTCTATTTGTACATGTAAGCCCTCTCTCTCCCTACCCTCTCCTTTCTATTGAGGTCTATGCTGTAAATGTTTGCAGGTGAGAACCAACTATGCAATAGTTTTAGCCTCCGTACCAGTGGTAACTCAAATGCTACTTCACCCCTCATGTATCATGAATCATTCTGTTCAGTGAATAAAGAAAGGGAAAGAGCAAAGGGAGAAAGGATTCGAAGGGGGCTGTGCTGTCATGGTGCACACCCTGAACAATACGGTATAGGAATGCACGTACACTGCAGAGACAGCATCACTTTTAGTGTAAGGCTTTGATTCCTTCATTTTCACTCTGCTGCAGCTTATATCCCATCTTCAAATCCTAAGCAATACAATGTCAACTTTACTTTACACATAAATCTCAAATAGGAGTATGGTCATACTCTGCAATGGAGGAATGCTCAGCTATTGGCAGCTCTTTGCCATGGCAATGATTTAAAACAAACACATGCCTATCTTCACGTTTTCCTAGTAAAATATGGATCTGCTTAAAAAGGACCTAAAATTCACTGTCCATCACATTTATATTTTAACACCTACGTGCTGTAGATAGAGACTTCAGTCCATTAATTTTCCTAGAATGATGCTCTCCTGACAAAGCAGTTTCACTGTGAAAAACTGGACTTGTTTTCAGAACAATATCAGTTCTTTTCCTTAGTGGCCCCATGGCTAAGAGAAAACATTTGGCATAACCCTGAGAGTTTATTTAGCTTGCAGAAGACTGGCAATCCACTTTCAAACCAAAATGATGACTTGTCAATTAATAATTTAGCATTCAGCACTAATCTAAGGCCCCGCATGCAAAACAGCAGAACAGACTTCTCCAGCAATGACGACCATGACCTCTGTTCATTTACTCAATTGTCACAATAAAAGTCTCTTGAACAACAGAATATTTAATATTCAAAGAGTGACAACACACAAATGCATTGTGGACAGGCCACCAGCTATGGCACTTTAGTATAGTGTCTTAGGACTTTGGTACAATCCTACGAATTTCAAAGTATTCCTCATGCATTTCCAAGTTGCTACTTATATACACAGCTGATCCTGCCTGACCTATACCTTCAGTCATGAGCCAGCCACCTCCAAAACTTTATACACTGAAACAGAAATGAGCAGGGCTTTGGCTGAGCGTGATCTATACACATACAGAGGCACCCACAGGAGGTTGGTGGGTGTTTGTGGAGGCAGAAAGCTCTGCAATCTGTATTTTCTCTC